CTTCCTGAGGAAATAACATATCCAAAGGTTTCATGGTATCGATTCTATGGAAACTTCCAGAACATTCCGAAGAAATCTGGACTGACACGAAATTTTGTGATAGATACTTCACGAACGACCTTCTATGAGTCTCTTACGAAAATCCGTTGGAAGTGATATTCATACGATGTTCACCTCAACAAATGCGAACACTAATCTGACCTCTTTCCCAGCCTGCATATCCTCGTGCATTTTTTCCACAACTCCCTCGATAAGGCTGTTCACGGATGACAGAGCGCGTTCCTGTTCGCTACTTCGTGGGGTGTTAACAGACACCTGAAAAGGTAGATGTGTCAGTCACATTGTAAAAGCTAGCTTGAAAGGATACAAAACTGATTTTCCACAGTTCAAACATTTCAAAAAAATAGCTTTTGAAAAGTACATCTGTCAACCTTTGCAAATCAGCTTGGGAAAAAATGATTTCAGCAGGCGTAAAGAAATAACGTTTGATTCGGGTCCGTGGAAATAGTACGCCAACAATAAGCCTTAGAACCGGTTCGATTCTCTGGTATCATCAGGACAGAAAGCTTTTTTCCTTCACCTGTCCCTCTCTCCCACCGTCCCTCCCCATCCAACACGCCCCCTTCATTCCGCCCCGTAACCAGCTACTTCAAATAATTCCATTCTAAAAACGAGAGCCTAACATGAAGCAAAATGTTCTAAGAACTTACATCAACAGTTTTCGTTCTGGCGGCGAGACGATTAGTAATTGCAGTGATATCCTCACGATCACCTTAACCAATGACTTCAATTCAACAAAAAGTGTAATTTTAATTGAAAGGTTAGAAAAGCATAATATTTGTTGGAATTAGTTGGCCTGAAATACGTTTTCTGTGCTCTGTAACTTAGAAGGTCCCAACGAATATGGATAAGACTGGATTTACGCAAAGAAAACCTATGGATGAAGGGCAGTACATCGCTTTATTCAGAAAAGGAGAAACGAAGGAAACGGGAAAACAAACGTATAACTCCAACTGTGAGTCGAAACTTGTGAGGTTAGGAAATTGGGCGAGAAAGATAAATGATGGTCAAATGAAGCGAGCGTTTATACTTACCTTGGCCAAGTCGCAACAGCTCAGTGTTCAAACTAACGCTGTTCAGCATGTCCAAAATCTGCTCCTTTTCCTGCTCAAGCATGGATGCGGCCTCTCTGAAAGCAGCACGGTCATTATCTTCATCATATCGTCCGAAAAGGACTCGATTCTCCATTATAGTTTCAGGAGGCAGTGCCCTACACTAAGTAATGTAGTGCTGAATATGGGGACTATCACATGAGCGGTCCACGGATCGAATCTGCGGTCGATACCCATTACAGTTAGCCGAGCTTCTCATCCCTCCGAGGTTGGCTGTCTGGTTTCAGACTTACTCAGGAAGATAAAAGCTGGGCATCGAAAATTATCTGACTCCGAACACTACTGTATAGGGGACCTATGCAATCAAACGCATATGTGAATTTGCATGGAAGTTGAATGTGTGTGAGCTTCCCGGAGCGACCAATGAAATTTACTCTTAATTCAGAGGAGAGGTCCTTTAGAATGTGTACATATTACATCAATAAACTCGTACTGCCACATGGGGATATTCCCTGACTAACCCCTAACCTTTTTTCCCGAATAACCATTACGAATAAACTCACCTCAACTGCTCGACTCGTTTTTCGACTTCGTCGAGCATGTTCACAACCTGTTCATTGAAATCATCGATGCTTCGATTTCGTATCAGAGCCATTGTTGCAGGCCGTGGATTGGTCGTCATCTGTAAGGACTTCTTTGACAAACTCCTTAGTCTCACACAAACCAATAGGTCTCCGGCAAATCGACAAAAATCTATCGCAGTTGAATTTCAATTATCGCTGGTTCAACACGAGGGTTTGCTGGGAAGAAGCTTCTTGCGATTACGGACAGTTGGATTAAATATGTTAGTAAGCGGATGTTAAGCTATGCTTGCGAAAAGCTAGGATAAACGATCAAACCTCATCGATGCTGGTAGTAGTGGATGTGTTTGAAGCAGGTGGTGGCGATGGAGATGCAGTTGTTGAAGGAGCAGGCTTGTCGATGATCGTGGTGGTCTGCTGTGGTGGTTGTGGTGGTGGTGGTGGTGGAGCTTCAGTGGCTCTTTGAATAGTGATCGGAATGATTCTAGCAGCCATCTAGTAGGACTGGTTGAGCGTGTACAATACGATAGAACTGTTCGAACGTCACTGAATCGCTGGCGAAAAGGTGGGTTGGGCAGAGTCGAATGTTACGGGCTATTGTCAGCACGAGTGTAGCAGCCTATTCAGAAAAGGCTCGCTTCTTACGACGATATTCGAAAATCACTGAATGAGTCACGTGGTAGCAAATAAAGAAGCCTCCATGAAAAATGATCAGAGAAGGAGTGTCCAGATATCCAGATATAATGAGGAGATCCATAAAGATTACAGATTTTCAACTTTAGCCAAAACTAGGGCATAACCTTAAAAGTCAGAACAAATAAGAACAGAACGAGCCTGTCGGTCAGGAAGAGCACTTTCCTACCAATGAAAAGTCTCTACGATATCTTCAAAAAGAGTTGCTGTGGTGTAGTGCCAAGTGGCGTACACTGTCATGCACATTGATGGTGGGGACTCCGATCGATACTCGCCCAAGCCAACCATCTCTTGAAGTTTGACTAATTTTCCAGTCTCGAAGAGTCGCAAACTCACTTCAAGCTTTTTTCCAAGCAAATCTAGCGAGCTACGAAGATATCTAGCCCGTGCAGGAGTAGGCGAAATACTGTTTGGAAACAATCGGACGTCTTCAAGCAATTCTGATAACCTTCACAGGATGCAGAAGTATAGGCAAGGTAAAAGGCGGTCTCGGGCGAGGTTCGATTCTAGAAATCTGATTTTAGGACGCTGCACTTCTCCTCTACATTGTCACGACAATGGACGCATTCCATGAAACCAACAGGTGTCCTGATGAATGACCGTGACGGATTTTGATTCCTCTTTTTCGAGAACAGGAGTACAATTCAAAAGCGAAGGCAAAGGAACTGGGTAATATTGGGCAAAGAAAGAAGCTCGGAAATGACTCACTAAAGATGTGTCTGAGTTACTCAGCTACCACTGAAACAAATTTCTGTACTGTTTTCAGTTTCCAATTCCAAATGCGGAGAATGGCACGTGGCCCATTACCACACACGTGGTTCGATTGACCAGTCGCCGACCGATAGCCGCCCAGATTAGCGAGCTCTTCCATACCTCCAGGGTCAGGTGATTGGTATCAGAGTCATTCGGGAGGGTAAATTTGTAGGTTTAAACTTCCCTGAGGTGGTCGAGGAAGAACAACCTGCCATGATTGGAATTGAGAGGTTGTCGTCGCATAGGTAGGACTGTGCTGAATGAGGGGATCAGCAAAACGAAAATGCAACAGCGACAGGTGGCACTACAGCCCCATAATTGACTTATTGTACCCAGCCTAAGAGCGACCTAAATGTGGAACGATGCGTGTCTTAACCTCAAACTGAAGAGCCAACTACCATGTGTTCCCAGACAAATTAAGGAGTTGATAGAAAAGAAGATGATTTCCCGGAGAAGAGCCCGCAGGAATCATACCAGATTGTAGCGTCTTTACGCCAAAAAAACTGGTCGGGATCGTTTTTGAATGCAATGTGAACAATAATAAACGGCTTTGCCGTAACAATTGAAATAGTTTGATGGTCGCACACCCCGTTGTGACAGTGGAAATTCAGAATGGACAGTTTTTACACTGGTAGTGGCTGGAGTCGCAATCGCTACACACACGTACACCACTGAAGGTGCACCGACACTTTGGAGGTCGATCATCTCCAACCATGCCAGGTTGCTGAGCGAGTCCAGTGTAAATGCGCCATCAGATAGAAGTTATTTGGGGGCATATTTTACGTCTTTATTATGGGTCACTACTTCCCTAATCATTCTTGAATCCTCGCTGAAATATGCAGACAGGAAGTGCTGGGGCAAAAACCCACTCCCACTTCCATGGATGGTTTCTGAATCAAGACCGGAACAGAATCCCGTCTTGGGAAACCAAACTCACGTCATGATCCTAGTTATTCCTTCTCTTTTCGTGCAGAAGGCTTCGACTTCGATATACATATGTTGGTTGCCTACTTCTTAAAACATCCTGAGTCTCTTTACAAGCCAAAAACGCTTTCAATCGTCTCTGCGGTACTGGATGTCAGCCAAATGAAAGGGCGCAACCCAAGAGCAATTAATTAACATTGGTGATGATACCTCGCATAAAGGAAGGAAAACCATGACGGCTACCCGCGAAAGGGTTACATATAGATTGGGTGGCCAGTGGCCATGACATGCCGAGGTTATCCAACCGTAACCAGAACTATCGTGACCCGCCATAGGTCGTGCTCATGGGAAAGCACGAAATCAAAACATATAATTGATCCGTTTCTAATAAATCATCACTGCCTTTTTCGGCTTTGCTTACCTCTTTGTGAGACTCAGCAATGATTCGATCTTATTTCTGGCGGCGGTCCCCGGGAGCGGTGGCAGTTATGGGGGCTTTTCCAGAATTCAGGCCAAGGTTCAGAAAATACGGAACGAGCAGGACGACGAGAACCTGTTCCCGCATGGAACTGAATGTTCGCAAATCCCCAAGCGTTCGATGCTTCTCAAGCACCTACGAGCGTTCAACAAACACCCTGATACCCTTCAAAAGCGTTTCCTCGTAAACAAAGGGCGATGATGGTGTAGAAAATGGAGTTATTAAGAATTTCCAATCGATAAGAGTTATTACAATGTGGTCAGGACGGAACAAATGCTGAACGTCATCATAAAAAAGTAAAAGACAATAAAACACATGACGACTCCCTTGACAAATGTCCCCCTATTGACGCGTGGGAATCCGAGAAGTTATTGCCGACAAGTCGATCAGTGGAATGTGAAAGCCGGGAAAAAATTAAGAAAGATCCTCCTCTACTCTGAATTCTCTTAGG